ATTACTATACATCTATTAAAAAACCATAATGGCCGACATCAGTAACAATGCGACAACAATTGAAAAAAAATGATGGCCGACAACTGCAACAATTAGAAAACAATGATGGCCGACACTACGTCATAACGGATTAATAAAGATGGCCGGGGGCAGGGGAAAGAACTAGTATGATAAAATATATATAAAAATAAAAGAAACAATGAATGCTGTCATCACAGAGCAAAGTAGTATTATCATTGACTACTATACATCTATTAAAAAACCATAATGGTCGACATCAGTAACAATGCGACAACAATTGAAAAAGAATGATGGCCGACAACTGCAACAATTAAAAAACAATGATGGCCGACACTACGTCATAGTGGAGCAATAAAAATGGCCGGCGGCAGGGGGAAGAACCAATATAATTAAAAATAATTAAAATTTCATTTTATATGGTAATTGTTTTCGTATTTAGACTTTCTGCTTTTGTGTGTGTCCAATTGCATTTTACTTGTTCGTACTTACTATTGTAGACACATGTGAATATGTATTTGAAATTGCGCCAAAAGTATTGATATATATTTTGCCAATGCACCCATGAAAATGCTTTAATTTCGATTTGAAAATAGTTTCAAGTTAGAAAACGGGAAAATGGTACGATTTCGCAATAACTGTTTCATGTTTTGCATTTATATAGAACTATCAACGGAAAACGTTCTGGAGGTATATTCGTAAATAATCTTTGGCATCTAATCTTCCATGTATTTAATAATAGAAAAAGCGCATTTTAACTTTTACATAGGACTTGATCATCTCTTGAAAAATACATGGCATAGGGAAAATTCATAAGTCCAATAAATTCAATTTAAAACCGTTAAAGTTTATTAAGCTTTGCTCAAAAGAATTTTAGAGTTCGGTTAGTTTAGAGATATTTTCAGGTTGAAAAAATATATATAAATTATGAATTTTCGTTCGTATGAAATAAAAAGTAAAAGTTCCGATAAGGTAACGTGTAATTTCCATGTTCGATGAACAATTTGCCTTACCTGCAGATGTATATACATTGGACTTGTTCGCTATGTGCTTCTTCAAATTAAACTTTTCTTCGGCAATGTGGAACATCTTTGAATTTTAAATAGGCGTCTCTTCCGCGTTCATAAAGGAATAAGAAAGACCACAAAGAATCAGGCAATAACTAGCGAACAAATTGTTGAAATGTTTCAAGTCTTTTTATAAGGCGATTACACGTAAGGAAAATTCGTAAAATTTTTTTTATAATGTGCTCTCTCAGGCTCGAATTGTTGACAATAATATTCTATACTTGGTAGTAATAACCAATTGACAAGGGGATGATATTTGTGCAAGGTAATATTTTGAGCGTTTTGGCTTAAATTAAGATTTCTTGTCTTGTTGGCTTGGGGACATCAACATGAACAAGAAAAAAACAAGACCTTAGAACGACTTCTTAGAGGTTTTTCTCATTTTTTTTCGTTTTTTCGTTGACGAAAATGTAAGAGGTTCAGGTGATTCCCAGTTTGAATTTGAAGGGGAATTCGACAGAGGGGGTTTTGTAAGGGGGTTATTTTAGTAATACTTGTATATCATTACGCCTGAAAAGGTGTCCTACCAACCTATCTCGCCTATTTCTTACTGACTTCTACAGAGTCCTCTGTTCTCTTATTCTATCTAATACCTCTTCATTTCTAACCTTCTCTATCCACAGTATCCTCATCATTTCCAAGCTTTTCTTTACCACCGCGCCCACCAACCATGTTTCGCACCCGTACAGCGCCGCGCTCCAAACACCTTTAACAATCCTTTTCGAGTTTCTAAATTAACCGTTCGCGAGCATAGAAATGACTTCTTTTTATTGAAGACGACTCTACCCTGCGCTATCCTCTGCTTTATATCCCTACTACTCCTTCCATCCTGACTTATCTGACTTCCTAGATACTTAAAATCAGCCACTTCTTCTAATCTCTCGTCTCCTATCTTTATATTTCCCCTTTTCTCACTTTTTCTACCCCTTTTCAATCCATTAACTTTAATTTACACAAAGAACTTGTAGATTATTTGCAGATGTACTGTAAGTTTTTGAACCGGTCAACATTAGTGTTCATTTCTGGCGATTGCACCAGCTACATAAGCTTCTATAATAATGTGATTTACAGTACAAGTGTAATAACCGCCGTTTGCTCGGTACTTCCCCTCATGTCCCTCGGGGTTCGAAACGAACACATTTCGTCCCCGATCTAGGTCGAACATCAACTTCCCGTAATTTCCAAAGTCCCCTCTCTCCAGGGCCCGTTCGTAAATATCACGAAAACCCGATGAGAATTCAAACAGCGAGAGGGTGGACGATTACGTTCCCTTAATTAGCTTATAAAAGTGCGGTAAGTGTGAAATCGGTTCGACGATAACGCAGATAAGACGCTTAGGAAGGCGATACTTTTAAACAACCCTCGAGAAAGTTGAAGGGAAACAACGCAAAAGGGTGGAATTGTTGAGCAGATATAATGTACTATATCGCGACTTGTAGCAAGCACAAAAAAAAAACAATTATTAGCTAATAAAATAAAGTTACGAAACTATTTAAAACTAGAAAAATTATATTTAAATACAAAGCTTCAACATAAGGGCGTATGTCGCCGTGAGATGGAGCTATTAAATGTAAATTTGTGCAGCCAATTTAAAGTAATGTCATATAATATGTTAGACAAAGTCGATGTTTCTTCGAGGAAACGGAAGGTTTTCTAATTAGCCAGGCAAACAAACGGCGACCTTATTGTCTGAGTGGCATTTCGTTAACGGGGCGAACGAAACAAAGAAGGGTTGTTTGCTATTCTCCTTACAGAACTTCATTTGCTTTAAAACGGCATCGATAACGCGAACCCGAGAGCAAGTTGCATCTGCAATAATAGTTCTTTCTAACGTTTCCTTCTTTTCTTTTGTATCTGTATTGCACGAAGTTCTTGTACCAATATACTGAGATCGGAATCAAAGTTTCCTGGTTATTCTTTCATTCGTACAATCCACTTTGCATTGTCATATAACTTTTTTTGGGGACTAAAAACGGTAACAGAAACTTCTGCAACAAGTATATATTTAACAATTTTGGAATAACTATTTCAAATATTGCTTACATTAGTATAAAAATATGAGCATTAAAATTATATCCATAGTTGTGACAATAAAATATCAGTTTTTAGATAGATTGGTAAAGGCTTTCGCGGTCTGTAGGTGAACTGTTGCTTTCATAATTTGGGTCTAAATATAAACAGATATAAATATGAACATTAAAAAAATTAGTCGGACGGAATAGTTATGAATTTAGTGAAGTATTGTTGACCGACGCCCGGCGTCGCTTTTACGTTCGTAATTTTTGTTGCAACGGGGTTTGCTCGACGTCGGCGTTAATAAGGCGTGCGGTGGCGCTTGAACATGCGGGTGAAAATTTGGTAAAGTGGCGAGGCGCGTGCTTAGCCCGACCCTGTCGTCGCCCCTAAGCCGGAAAATATCGGCAAACGGGCAGTTGTTCGCCGACGATCCGGCAGGCCGATTTATTTCACCCACGCAGAAGATCGGGGAAAATCGCGACACGTCGGTTGTACTGCTAATACTAATCGGGACGTAGTGCGATAACATACTAGAAAATTTCACTAAAATCTGAACCCTATTTGCAATTTTGTGCTGTGATAAACAAATATCAAGACACGCGACTACAATAAATCTATTGTATCTTATACTAACTAAATAGTTACTACTTGTTATTAATCGTTAGTGTGAATAAATGGAAAAAAGGTTTATAAACAACAATGGCTATTTATACATATTCGTAGGTAAGATTTTTTGTGTGTGTTTGTGGAATTGATAATGTTGCTTAGTCCATTTCATAGTCAGTTTAACTTAAAAAACAATTTTATCAGACAAAGAAGGAGTTTCCCTGTTTTTTTTTTGCTGTTTAAATAACATTCTTCTGACTTTTACATCAATTTGTGTTTCTTAAGTATTATTGATATGTATAATGTATCATCATCATTGTGTGTACGCTACAAACAGCTTTAATTACAAGGGTTCCTTTAGACTATTGCAATTCTAGGAGGTACACAACATACACACTTCCGTTTAGTAAAGCTTTTCCATTTTAGAAAAATTGTAGGCTTTTCAAAAAGAAATCAGAATCATATTTTCCGGATGTCATTTACTTAATGACAGATTTTATCTTTTCTTGCAATGATTCAGGCATGAGCGTCTAGTCAGAGACATATTAGAGGAGTTAGGAGGGGTAGAGGTAGATCTAGATTAGATTATTGTTCGCAAATAGTTAAGGATGTGGGCTGTTCTAGTTTTAGGGAAATGCGATGTTTAGCTCAGGATAGGAAATAGTGGAGGTGCGTGTCCAACAAGTGTTATAGGCGGATAATGAGGATAACGTGGGTAGTAAAGGTTAGAAATGAAGACGTATTGGAGAGAATAGAACAGAGGACTCTATGGAAGTCGATAAAAAATAGGCGAGATACGTTGGTAGGACACCTTCTTAGGCGTGAAGGTCTAGTCAGAGACATATTAGAGGCAGAAACAGGAGTTAGGAGGGGTAGAGGTNTCCTATACATTTATATTATTTTTGCTTTTTTAATGAACATTGTGTTCTCGTCAATCGACGCGTGATTTTAATTTGAACTTGGAAGAGCTTTTTTTGCCCGAAAGTTGATTTTAATTACTTTACATAATTGACTAATACCTTAAGATAAGACCGTAATTAATGCCTTTTTGCAATTTATTTTACTATTTCGAATATAGGACGAATTAACCACTTTAATCAGTTTCTGGCCATTATTTTATTAACTTTTCGAGATTATTTTTAACTCTCATTCTTAATTATTTATTTGCGAAGTTAATTGCCGTTTCCTAAGATTAAGTCATACATTATTATTTAATGTAAATTAAATGTTATCGATATTGTAAATTATTAGATATAGAACCTTATCATGGGTGATTTTAGCGATAGGATTAAACTTTTAGCAAGTACTTTCAAACTACATATTACTAGAATACAATAAAAATTAGAGTTCGCAACAGTATGAAAACCACGGGAAATCATGCGAATAAAAAAGTTGTATGGACGTTGTATAATAAAATTCAGTCTATTTTTAATTTGTTGCCTCTTTAAACAAATTTTATTTCGTAAATATTTTATTTCAGTTCATAAAAGTACAAAACATTAACAATTACTACATTAAAACTAACTATAAATACTTCTTTTATTGCATTTTAAGTACTTCTTCCATCTTAATAGTAAATACAGATCTACAAATTTGGAATGTTTTCATACCATTTATAAAGTTTTGAGCGTGGTTATTGTATTTTTGGGACGCGAAAGTTTTTAAAAGAATTTAAACAATTTTTAATGACTAGCATTGTTCGAAATAGATCAGAATTTATTCTGCACCTACCAGATAATAAACATAAAGAGTAGTTTATTAGTAGATTAAATGTATTTCTACGTGTCTGTCTTTATTCACTAAACATTAGCAGTGATTTAACAATATTAATTAATTTGTAGAACCAAATTTTATTAACACAATTATTAGAAAAAGTTAATTCAGACTTAACACCAACTGCACATTATTAAAAGCGTCGTAACAAGCCTCTTATCGTTATTTTTTTCTGTTTTATTCAAACATTTTGACTTTCGATTTTTGTGTAATGCACCTTTCGCGAAACTATATCTAAAAAGGGCTCCAGTTTCATTTTGACGGTGTCTTTACTTAAATAAATGTAAACGCCCAGCAAAGTAAATAAAATAATTGATAAAATAGCAACAAGAATAGTTACAGCTCCTGAAACCCGGTGGTGTTTTGATTCTTCGTATTTTTTTAAAGTTATGGTGTAGTTTAAGCCATATTTCATCTTTATACACTTTAGGTAGTCTCTATTTCGAACTGTGACGTTAGTTTTTCGCACCCAAGGCTGTAAGGTGTTAAGGCCAAAATCGCAATTAAAAGGATTGTTATTTAAATCTATGACAAATTCTTGATTCCTGTAAGGGTAGGTCATAAGGTCGAATGTGTGTAATTCGTTCTCATTTAAGGATCTGATTTGATTCGACTCTAAGTCAACAAATCGAAGCTTCTTAAGGCATGTAATATTAAAGTTCAATCCAGGTATGTAATTTTGTCCTAGATAAAGGTCACGAATGCTTATAAGGTCGCAAAAGACGTTTGGGTCTCTAAAACCTTTAATTTCATTCTGTTCCAAGTGCAACTTTTGTAGTTTTGTCAAGTTACTCTTATAAAAAATGTCATGCAAGTCATTAGACAGTGCATCACCGGTGTAATCAGCAAATGCATTAGTTAAATGTAACTCTTCTAAATTTTCAAAATTTGAAAAAATCCTAGGATGATGATGATTTTCCAGCCCTTCATCAGATATAGTGAGATTATTATGGTTTAAAATGAGCCTCTCGACGTACTGAACATGATGATATGTTTTACCTTTAATTTCATTGATATGATTATTTGTCATATCAATTATTCTTAAATTATTCAAATTATTTATGTTGAAATCTCCAAAAATGTTCCAAGGCAGCGTTGGAAGATAATTTCCAGTGAATATGAGTACCTGAGTTTCTTCTGGAAGCTCTACTAACATGTCGGTGTTTTGGAAACCTGTGTTTGTACAGTTGACAATAAATAATTCTTTGCCATCATATGGGCCCCTGCCACACTTGCATTTCTTTAATAAAGGTGTTTTGCAGCTGGTACCCCCAACATAATAAAATCCAATGGAGAATAACAGGAAGAGATGTTTTAAATCGGGCACAACCAAAAACATCCTTAAAAATGGACCTAATAAAGCAAAAATAAAATTAAACATACTTATCAAAAGAAGGACTATGAATGTGAGGATATATATAGCGTTTGTAGAATCGAAAAAGTGTGTCGGATAAGCTCATAAACAGTTATTTTATTTTGAAAAAATTTCACTACTTTTGTTTCAGTAAAGGATAGCAGTTGTGATCAGAGATTGCCTTGATCTTTTCCAAAATGGTTGCTGTTATGCTAAGTGTTGTTTGTAGCAAATGCAAGTAATTTAGGGGTTTTAATAATTGTTATTAACTTAATTAGCGATAAATTAGTATATTTACTACCTGTGTTAAAATCAAAATATTCGAAATCGTTGAAACACCTGTTCCGCGTATGTTATTTGAGTTGAAATGATAACGGAGCAAATCGGATCTCAAACTTTGTTTAAAAAAAATTATCAGTTGTTTTGATTAAGCACCTTTAGTTTATGATGTCATGATGCCCACCTTTACCTGCCCAGATGACAAATCAACAGGTAAGAAAGTTTAAATTTTTTTAAAGGTAAACATCCAGGAATTTTACAAGCCTTAAGGAACATGAGTTCGCTATTTTCCATTAGGTGGCGCTCTAGGCAAAATTTTGTGAAATTCGCTTATTTGCTCTTAAGTAACAATAGAAAGCCAATAAATAAGAGAAAAAACGTTAATATTAATTAATTTAATTGTAATATGAAATGTATTTGATGTAATTAGGGACTTTCATTGAAATATTGGTCACGCGATAATAAACTACATGTTATTTCTCACCATTCTGACAGAGAGGGCGGCAAAGGTACTTGAACACTTATTTCAAATTTTAATGTAGTAAAATATATTATTATAATAAAAGGGATAACGTCATCTGAAATTAAATAAACTGAATGGTAAAATGCATAACGAAAATAATGGAGTCTTATGGTTATATATGTTTTATAAACGTCGTTGAAATAATAATTTTAAGTTTGCAAGCAGGCATAATCTTATTTGCCTATGTCCGGTAGTAATTGAAATAGTAATAGGTGAGATAATTATGTTTATAATACTATTTATTTTATTTTTTTTATTATAAGCTGGGAAATACCTTAAAATTTTGTATGCTGCGTTATTTGCGCTATTGGCAATTAGGTGGCGCTCTGATGCAGGAATATTACAAAATCGTCTTAGTTTATTATTTTATGATCTATAAAAGAAACAAAGGAATAAATGTTTGATTTTTTATTAAAAGAAGAAAATACTTTGTTGCCTAAAACTACTGGCTACTCTGAAATCTTTAAATTATTTGATAATATAACTAAATTACTGCATTAGAATAAAATGTTATCAGGGAGCACCTAAACTCGCCTGTATGGTACACGCGACAACATATGAATTCGCCACGTATTTTCGAAACTTCCTATATCT